GAATATTATTTTGGCGGTAGTAGAGTAGAAATACGAACATTATTTTGGCGGTAGTAGAGTAGAAATACGAACATTATTTTGGCGGTAGTAGAGTAAAAATACGAACATTATTCTGACAGCTCCAATGATAGCGCTGCCGAAATTAGGCAGTAACCGGATCGTTGAGAGCGTCTCGCAGAGCTCAATGATCGCATCGGTCAATAAATCATATCCCTTGGTTTGTGAATATATGATGCTAAATTCGACATTAAATATGTACCTTTTTGTCAATAAATATAGGTTTCGGTTTCATCGCTACGCCGTTTTGTTTTATTCATTCATTAATAATCCTAAACTAATTTACTATGTGGTTAAAAAAAAACTTACACTTGAAATATGTCACCCTCGCGATATTTGCTGTGGCTGCTCTTGCTTCCCGCTTTGATTGCCATGAATGTACCGAATACAGAAGCTACAACCAAGCACACTACACCTAATAAGGACAACGACATGGGGAATACATTATCGAGTTGCTCGAAAACATCCTCTGCGTCAACACTTCGACGTCTTCGCTCGAATGCGTTGAAGAACCAATCCTCGTCGTCGAAATCATCAAAATCGTCAAGATCGTCAAACTCTTCCTCATCGAAATCTTCGAAATCTTCGAAACCACTATCGTCAAAAGTAAAGCTGTCAACACTAGTTGTGCCAAAGCCAGTGCTAGTACCGGTAGTTGTGCCAAAGGTGCTAGTACCGGTAGTTGTGCCAAACCCAGTGCTGGTCCCGCTAGTTGTGCCAAAGGTGTTAGCACCGCTAGTTGTGCCAAAGGTGTTAGTACCGCTAGTTGTGCCAAAGGTGCTAGTACCGCTAGTTGTGCCAAAGCCAGTGCTGGTGTCGGATGATCCAAAAGTACTGCCGGTTGATCCAAAAGTACTACCAGTGGTTCCGAAAGTACTATCGGTGCTGGCGCCGAAACCAGTGTAGGACTGGCTGTCGAATGTCTGAGGAGCAGAGTATACCGCATTGTAGCCACCATTGGCATACGCATTGCTTCCTTGAACTTGCTGGTTTCCACCGTCCACTTGATCGCGATTGCTTTCCTCCGTGCGACCACCGCTAGTCACGGCAAACCCACCAGAAGAATCCATACCACCTGTTATACGTGACCCCTGAGGCCCACCGTCCCCGACTTCAGAGCGGACTTGGCCATTTGCCGCGACAGGTTGTGGGTCATTACGCACGATCACATTATTCACAACCTCGCCTCGTTCACCGGTCAAACTCGATACGACGCCTTCAGGGCAAACTTCCGCATTGACACAAGTACGTGTGTCGCCATCTAAATCCGAAACACAGTCCTTACCATTTCCTTCCCGGTTGATACATTGCCTTTTCTGTATTCCCGCACCGCATGTTGTCGTGCATGCTTCCCATGGACGCCACTCTCCATCGACATCCTCGACGTGAACGTAATTGCAACCAGGCCTAGAATTATCGTGACAGGACTGTGTGTATTCGTAGACTTGACACGGATGCCCTGCCGCCTTAGAAGAAATATCAGCGCACCTTGCCGTCTGGATACCTACTCCGCAACTGTTAGAACACGCATCAAAGTCTGTCCAAAGGGATCCATCCGCTGCTACTCGGAGCTTCGCGGGCTGTTTCAAGTCATCTACCTCTAAAACCTCTGTTCGACTCTCGGCTTCACATCCGGCGGGCTTACACTCCTTAAAGTCTGCGCCCGGGCAATTGCCATTTTCCTTCAAACAAGCACGCCCGTGGTAACCGACGTCTTCACAGGTTTTGGCACTACATTCACCATATTCTGACCAATCGTCACATCTTTCAGTATTGCATTCCCTTTCAACAGGACTAGGTCTATTGCCAGCACAATACGCATTGGCAAAAGTCTCACTTTTGCAAACATACTCTACACTCGAAACTCCGCCTCCGCACTTCTTCGAGCACCCACTCGCTTCTACACTACCCTCAACCCAACTTCCTACCATACTTGGTATATTTGATATAGCTACTGATTGCAGCTTCTTGTTAAAATACTGTGCATCTCCATTGTTCCCACACCATTCCGATGCTGATTCGATTGCAACAGCACTTGCTCTCTCCCCTTCCGTTGTCATACACAAACCACGGCATTCACCACCACCCACGCAATTTTTTCCACCGTTTACTATTAACGATCTGAAGTCTATATATGCCTGCTCGGTATTAGTGTTGTCACCGCATGGTGATGTGTAAACTACCCCACTCGCATGGTTAACAGTTAAGCAATCTTTCGAATCCCAATTTAAAAGTTGCTGATCATTCACTTCTCTCCAGTATTGACCCGTGCTACCGTCGCAAGCTTGTGCCTTCACTTCAATACCCTGTATTCCAAGACATTTCATGTCACTTGTAACAATAAGGAAGTCATTGATACCTGCTATCATAGTCGCACATGTTGCACACGATGTAGCTGCGACTAATGCAGCCCTCAACATATTCTTACTCATATCTTTTGAGCTCATGTTGAACAATCAGGATGCAATCGTGTCCACCGCTGACAGTTTAAATCAGTAAGGTATATAATAAGGAGGTAAGAAAAGTGCAGCTAGAGTATTATATTTCGAAAAGTAAAGCCGACTGTGACTTTGTGCCCGGTGGTGACTGCAGTTTAAAGTCGGTGACTGACTGATGCTGTGAGCCAGTGTAACTCTGGCTGGTGCACTGCCTTCTACTAGAGTAGCGAGAGAGCTGGTCAGTTGTCAGTCTGGGCCCTCTGAGTCTGGGGTCAGTGGTCAACTGCCATTAAACTGGTCACTCCGCTTGTGGGCATTTTTCTCGTCGTGGTTCTACTTTCTGAAATCAAATGTGTTCTAAACCCATGGCCCGTCTCCAGGAAGGTGCAACCTCTAAAACCGGAGCGGGTATAAAATGCATATTTTAAAAACAAATTTACTCCAATGCTCACTCACAATGCTCAAACAGATATTTATTACATTTACTGTTGTCCCTTTTTCTACAAAACAAATATATATATATATATATCTTGTATTTTCATTTTATTTTAAATATGCGTACGTATGGCTGTCGTCAGCCTGTTTTTAATATCTGCCGGTCCAGTGTCCACACACAAGAGAAGACGCGGATTTTAGCCTATATTATAATGTAGGCCTTGTATTACCGGGCTTTAGCCCATAACCTGGTTTTTGTTTTTGTTTTTGCTATTTTTAAAACAAAACCAGAACATATAAAAAAAACACCTATATCACCTCCTCAGCCTTCAGGGCCAGCCCTCAGGCCTCAAGAGTCAAGCCCTGTCAGGGGCTCAGGGCCTCAGACAGAGTCCAGAGTCCTGTCCAGAGTCCAGAGTCCAGACTACCTATTTACTGTACATTTATTTTTGGATAGATACCAGAAATTATTCAAATTATTTATTTATTTATTTATTTATTTTGAGTGGGGGGGGGTGACCGGGGGAGGGAGTTAGTTTTGCATTTATTTGCAAATAAATGTTTACATACCATCATAGCCTTAAGACTACTCTTAAAAGCCTACTCTAAGATACTTTTAAAAGCATACTATTGTCAGTGATTATCACGATGTGGCTTTTTCAGTCCTCACATTATGACTCATGACACTCCTGTTCACTGTTCAGGCTGTTATATATGTACAACTGTACATACTGTTTTTAGTATTAAACGGAGTCGTATAGCAAAAAAAATATGTTCCCTTTTTGTAAAACAATGACGACGTACGAAGTCTTATGATGTAATATTGATTGTGGATCTAAAAAGTATAATATATTTAAAGAAAAAGTATAATATTTATAAAATGTTTACTCTCACTTTCCCACATAGTGGAGTAGAAGTTAAAACCCATCAGAATTCAACGTCAATTTTTTATAATATTACAGATACAGAAATTGTGGAAGTCACTGGAACTCTGGATTCTAGATGATGGGAAATTCTGAATCTATAGAGAAGTGCAAAAAAAAAATGGGTTGTTGAAAATCTTTTTTTTTAAATTTTATATGTACATACATACAGTATAACAATTATGTTATATTTTTCAAGAAATCACTGTTGCTGTTTTATAAATATATACAATATGTACATATATAGTTTTTGTTTTTAAGTAAAAAAAAACAAACAAAATACTAAAAATACAATTCAAAAAACCAAAATAAAACCAAAATAAATAAATACATCAGCACTTTCCGGTTAAAATACAGTTTCCTATGTATTTTTTAGCTAAAAAAATACAAAAGTCAAACAGCAAGACTGCAGTCCGAAACAGTTTTTTTTTTTAATATTTATTTTGTATATACGTCACTGCAGTCTGCACAGTCTATGTAAATATATATTTGTATATATATTTAAATAGACCTGCATCACACCTTTTTAATAACTATTAATCCACAACTCCAAGAGGATTTAAAAAAATAGTCCGACCCTACCATTTTGATGATATCCTATTTATTTATTTATTTTAAAATGAAATAGTAAATACACATAGCCTTCTAAAGGTATATTGTCCCTACCCTGGCGCCAGTTGCGTGAGAATATACTTAA